TGCAGCGTGAATGCCCCAGCCCTCCCCTTCTAGTGTGAAGGGTTGCAGATGGAGGGAAGGAGCAGGGGCTGCCTCTACCAGAAGAGCCAACTGGATCCCAGCACGCAGGGGCAGGCTCCCGCTCTGCTCTTAACTCCAGTTTCATCCTCCCACTGACCTCTGTTGATTCCTCAGCTCACCCTGATCACAGTCAACCCCTCCACTCCTTCCTGTACCTGCCCTCTCTAGATTTGCACTTCCTGGCGGTGCCCCTTTCTTCTCCCCTTTATCCCTTCCTTGTTCAAGGGAGACCGAATACAAATGTATTTGATTCTAAGCCACAACCAGACCTTATATCTGATGCACCTGGGACTGACAATTGGGCTTTTCACAGCTCTATCAGGCACTTCCCTTTGCCAGAGATATTTCTAGCCCTAGAAGGTTTGCTTGGACCCCAAATCTAAGAGGTCTCCAGCCATGCTAAGATTGGGCAACCCATGAGCGGGCCTGCTAAGGCCTTGCCCTTCTTGCTTGAATCCAAGCACACCCCAAACCTCCCTCTCTCGCTTTGCCGATAGGTGGTAGTGCAGTCTGCCACAGCTTTACGAAGCAAAACAGAAGGAAAAGAAACTCCTGTCAAATGGGGAGGCCAAAAGGTAATCAAAGGTTGGGTAGAGGGTAGCAATGACGTGCCAAGGCTTTATGCAGTGATAAAAGAAGTGTTTGCTCAGGGTGGGCTAGTTGCAGCTGTACTCTCCAGCCAGAGGGAGTGAGCGGCCCGTCCCATGCAGGCCTGCCATGACAGGATTTAGAGGAAGCCTTGGCAGCCTGGCCCTGGGAGCCTGCCGAGGCCTGGGAGTGGAGGTGTCTCCAGGCCTGCTGGGAAGCTCTGGTGCATACCTTCAAGTGCCCTTATGTGCTAGCAGGGGTGAATCCGGCAGCCCAACTTTGGCTAGTGGTCATGGACTCATTCACACACCCTCACTCGCTCCAGTTGATTTCACTCACTCCAGTCTCTCTAGTTCCTGGCACTTACACCTCCATCACAAAACATGCACCCAGAGTAGAGCGTCCTTCACACCAGAAAATAATTAGAAATGGAGTTTAACAAGAAGACAGGACAGACTTCACAGAACAAGTGCAGGGAATGGCTAGACAACCATACTGATCAGCAACCTGTCTACATGCTACCAGCCCCTTTTATCCCTTTATCTGTTTTCTCACATTTGTTTGTCCCCAAACCACCTAGATCCCCCCCTTTCCCTGCTGTTGGTTCTTCCCCTAAACATCACATAAATCTAGTGCAATCCCCAAATGCTCTTCTCCTGCATCCCGTAATGGGTTCCATACCCCTAGGCAGCAACTGCCCCCCTCAGTTGTGAAGCTTTTTCTGAAAACCTCTCCCCCTGACTCATCTTGATGGGCTTTCCCCTGGACCCTGGGGCTGAGGCTGTCCTGGGACAGCCTTGGGAGGGGCCCGGACAGGGTGTCCCTTCCTGTGAGTCCATAATTTGGGTTCCCACCTGCCATTGTCCCTCTGTGCACCTCTGGGCCTGTGGAGATGGGCCTTTGGTGGGCTGATGGCTCCTATGATGGGCCTGGGAGCAGCCCAGGAGGGTGCTGTTTGGGCTCCCCCTCCTGCTGTTGTCTCTCTGTGCTCCTTTGTGGGTGTGTGGATGAGCTTTTATGACACAACACAACATTATGCCCTGCGAAGGGGGTGCCTGCAGATGGGAGCCAAATGATCTGATCAGAATTTATCTCATGAATTGATCGTGGTTAATAACAATCACAATTAGAAATAAAAATTTGAGCTCAGTAAGGCCAAATGCATGCATGTGCTTGTCAAGAAAATCAGTCAAGAGGACCACAACCTTGAAAGGTGGTCTTTGTCATGCTCATCATAGCCATGTCCTGCCTCCTCCTGAAGTCTGGCTCACCTTCGTAGCATACAGTACAGGAACCTCCTTTTTCTTTTAAGTTCACTGCAACTTTACTCAGCCTAGTCAGAGGCATATGGGGATGCTATTAAAGCACTTGGTTCTAATTATCCCGATGGAGAGAAACATACTTCAAGTGTGAAGGGGTAAATATGCCTTGGTTCTTTTAGAAAGAGAGATCTTCTTGCACAGCAGAAAATGATGAGATGTGAAGGTGTGGTGGACACCAGCTCAAATAGCATTTGCTTTCTGCTGGTTTTCATTTCACCATGTTTAGCCTTTTTAAGGGACCAAATTATTTTTTTACGTTTTGAATTCTAGCTGATGAGTACCTCAGGCTTCCCATCCATAAATGCCTACGTGCCTCCTGCAGACCTGTGTAGGGTGGAGCACAGCATCTCATTTCTATCTGGGAAGTGCAGTGATGAACTAGTGTAAATGTGCCAGAGCTGCTAGAACGAACAAGGGGATTTGCAGAAGTCAGTGAAGAAGACATTTGCTATAAAGAGTAAATAAAAAGCTAAAAGCTAATGAAAATAGAACCATTCACATTCAATGGCATGTATTTCAAATGGACTAGAGATTGCTGAATTGATCCCAGGAATAGATGATCATTTTGGGAGCTATATTTCTTGCCAGGTTCCAAAAGGCTCAGTTTTAAACACAGTGCAACCTTTTCCTCCATGACATGGAAGCAAATAACTTTTAACAGAGTTTGAGGGTGGCACAAAAGCTGAAAGCACAGTAAATAGCCATCTGGACAGAGCAGTCGCACAGAGCAGTCCTGGTTATTTGGCTGACTACTTAAAGTGTGCTACTTTGCATTTAGTTTCACTTTTATTACAGTTTAATCTTATTTAATAATCTTGTTTTTCATCTTAATTGATTCAATTTTATAATTTCTATTTTATGTTATTAATATTTAATTTTACTCGATCCTTTAAGTTGTGTTAAAATGCATCTAAAATCAAATGGTGCAGACACTGCTTTTGAATGGGTGACAATCCCAGAAAGCTATGCAAAGTGCATACGGATCTGAGTGAACAAACAGCTGAATGTGAGAATCTACTGTGAGGTTATGGCACAGTGGGTTAATGTGAAGAGGAGCAGCAAGTAAGTTTTAACTTTATTAGCAGAATGGGTGAAAGCAGTCCTGCATTACTCTGTATGCTTTTATGTCCACATTTTGAAGAACTGAAAAGTTTGAGATGTCTTTTAGAAAGAGACACAGATTTATTAAAGGGGCTGGAAAAATGCTCTACAGTAAGAAGCCTAAAGATCTCAGTCTGTTTAGTTTTTCAAGAAGAAAAGCAAGTGTTTGAATAACTTTCCTGAAATGTAATGGCAGGTAATAGAAAGGTCTTTAATCTTGGTGAGAATGGCAAAGCAAGGGCACCAGCAGCTCTAAGTTTATGTCAGATGAATTCAAATTATAAAGGAGAAATGCCTTTTTAAGTGATGATGGTTCAATATTGGAACAGGATACCAAAAGAATTGGTTCTTTCTCAGTCACACATCATGACTAGATGCTTTTTTTCTGGGGAGCTGTGCTTTAGCCAAGCGTACATTATGCTCGAGGAAAACACAAATCACTGGTCTTCACATGGAGATAATTGTGTGAAATGTAATAGTTGATGATGGTGGTCTGATTAAAACAGGAAAGTCTGATTTAAGGCTATTGTGGCCTTAAACTCAGCAATTCTCCTGTATGCTGAGCTGACTTGGCTTGAGACTGCTAGAACAAATTGTAGTGGCATTCAGAAGCCTGACTAGATGTGTTCCCACAGGAAACGAGGTGATTGCAGTAGACTGGAAGGGACTGAAAGATGTGGACCAAATCAATATGGACAGCACCAGTTCACTGCATGGCAGCAGCTTCCATCGACCTTCCACTGAGGTGAGTGCTTGTCCCAGACCCACTTACCCAGGGGGATCAGAAAGTTTCAATTCTTTCTGAGTTCAGAAATGGGTGTTGTGCTTCACTGAGGCATTATCTGGGAGAGAACCAGAATGTCAGTGTGCGCCCAAGGATCAGACTTTCATATCTGTGCAGTTTGGCTTGCACTGAATGAAGTTGAATCACTCCCTTCAGAATAGCCATAGTGAGTAAGAATTTGCAAATGAAAATGACCACTCATGACTGGAGTGGAACGGAACATGAAAAAAACTGTGGCAGTTCTGACAAGCCTGTAGGTCTGCATTCCTTGAATAATGGATTCATTGAAATGTCCAACACTGTGTCTGTCCCAGCTTCTGCAGCACAGCCATAAAATCTTTTGAAGAAACATATTCGTCTCCATTTTGATTTTTAGGGATGCATTCACTGGTAACTCACTGCCAATTGATTTACCGTGCAGTATCTCAAAGGGCAGGTTCATTTGCTGTTCTGAATTATCGCAGCTTCTGCAATCTTAGATACCTGAATTTTCAGCTCCTTACAGAGTTCAGGGTATGCAGTCATGATTAATAAAAAGATCAAAGTTAGTTTAAACACGTAATATTTGAGGAATCACAAATAATGTTCACAAATAACATTAGCATATAACATACAATTTGCAAAACCTTACAAAGTGCTAATGTATAGGTATTTTTACTTCCTTATACCTTGCTGGCTTGGAATGTAACTCCAGGAAACTTGGAGTTTCGCAGAATCCTGGCAGAAGTTGTGGGGCCCAACCTTGCCTGGAAAATTCAGTTAAATCAAATGCAGATCTAAAAGTCAATGAGCATAAACTATATCTCAGTGAACATTTTGATTTATGTGAATGGATACCATATATGTAATTGATTCATCTAAATTTTCCTGAGTATCCACATCCCAAAACCAAGATGTTGAGATATGAGTCCTCTCAGCTGAAGGAAATGCACTATGAACTGGTACTGTAATGGCTCATATGGGAAATGGATCTGGTTTGCAAGGGGAAAGTGGGTCAGAATGGACAAACTGAAAGACTACAACAGAAAATAATTTCAGCAGAAAACAATTCTCTAACTTGCTGTATTATACTCAAAATAGGTAGTGTAGCTCCTCCTTGTGTTAGCCTCAAAGCGATGCAACTCCCACGCAGGGGTGCCAGCATTGCAACATTTAGCAAAGAGCTGTTAGAAGGGGAGCCTAATGAAAAGGTGTTTGTTTTTCTCTCTCTTACTCTCTGTATCATCCTATTCGCTGTCGTACCTTCAAACACCGTGATACCTACAGACACCACAATCAACAGCAGGGAATGAAACCAGCTTGAAAGACAGAATTTTTTTTTAATACATCAGATAAAGTAGTGGCTGTTGATTATGGCAAACTGCTAGAGAGATGCATGATTGTTTGCAACTTGTTTGTTACATTAATGTGATGTCCTTCTTTGCTTTCTTTAGCAAACACGGACAGATTTCTCCTGGGATGGTATCAATGTGAGTATGCGCCACACCACTGTTCAAATTTCAAGTCATAGGAAGACCAGGATTTGTCTGCCATTGGATACAGTGGAGACCAGAATGGAAACATGACTGAAAGTCTTTAGTGCCACTGAAATTCTGGGAGTTGTCTAAGATTCAGAGGATGGTGATGAATTTTTGTTTGCCTCTGGGTCTTTTGCTGTCTGGCAGGTATTTATATCTGCAGGTGGCTATTAAATTGCCTTTGTCCTCTTTAGGACAAATATGTATCATTTCATATGTTCTCTTTTTGAGATTTCTGGGCACTGTTAGATAAAAAAGGTGTCTGTCCAGCATGTTTAAAAAATCAGTAATCTTTGATTGGAGCATCATTTGATTTTCTCCAGGAGTTTGGGAGAAACATATCCCTCATTTTCAGTTGCATATAAAAGTAAAAGAATTCTTAATGTCCCCTGAGGGAGATGGTCAGCACCAGTTAACTTCAGTTAACAAGTGGAAGAAGAAACAAGAAAACATTTTAATAACACATATTCCTTGTTGCTCTTAATACCTATGCCATGAAAAAATATGATTTTATATTTTTTTCTTTTTCACTAGTGCAAAACCAGCAAACTGAAAACGGAATAATACATATTAGTGCTACCAAACTATTTTTTCTGCTCTGGAGGCTTAAAAAATGTGTTCACGTAAATTAGCTTTGATAGTTTTGTACACTTGGAAAGGCAGGATAAGCAGCTGCATTTTTGGTAGTATAAGTATTTTGAAATTTCAGATACCTTAAAAACTTTTAAATGGCTGTCATTTTCTGGTTCTCTGTGGTTTGAAAGCGCTTGGGCCACTGAATATCAAGGGGACTTATATTTTTAACTAACTCCCGTGCTACTGACATCTCTTTCATCTCAAGCTCACTTGTGGCTTGGGATCTTTTGCCTAGGCTCAGTTAGAGAAACAAATTGTGCAGGAAAATTATGGTGCATGCAGCAACTATCTAGAAGAAATTTGTAAGGTTTTTCCTCACTGCACTTCTGTCCAGCTGAAAGCAGGTACACAAAGTCATGTTTCTTTAAAGACAGTAGAAGACAGTTTCCTTACTTGGAGTTTCCCATTTTCCAAATCATTCTAAATCAATAGAGCTCTTTCATAATGCAGCTCTTTCTCTTTTTCAGTGCAATTCCATAGATCTTTGGTATCGGAGCTGGCTCATGAATTTCCTTCCCTTCCCATTCATTCCTGCCTTCATGTCAACCTCGTAGTGGTAGAGACCTTCTGCAGTTTATTTTCTTTTCTGGACCATTTCCATGAGGTGGCTCACAGCACAGCCCCCAGGCTGTCTTGAAATAAATGGGTGGATACTGAACAGCAGCGCCCAGGCAGGAATGACCAGTGGGGCATAGATGGACATTCTTCAACCAGCTTCATCACCAAAGGAAATGCATCATGGAACAAGGGCTGTGTTCTCAGCTACACCTTTCACTTTTTACTGTTCTTCTCCTGCTTTCTGATTTCTTCACTCACATGTTACACACAGACATTCCTGGCTCCAAAGTTACAGGATGCCTTAGCTGCTGCATTTACACTCAGTTTCCAGAGAAACTCACCTCTCATATTTTGACAAGTGACTGGGATTATATGCAGTTCAACATCTTTACAATGCCTTCCTTTGCCTCCAACTATTTGACTGCCTAGTTATTGCTCCTCTCACCTTTAGTGAGGTTTGTGCCTATGACCAAATGCTTGCCTCATGTCAGGATTTAAAACTTCCAGTGTCATGGTCACTACTTTTGAGTATCTTTGTGTTTGAAACATGCTGGACTTGATTTTCAGAGAGGTTGAAATGAAGAGCAGAAGCAATGCTTGTTTAGCCCTTGTTGAATATTAAGCCTCATATGCAATGCCTGGCATCTCTGAAAAAGCTTGATGAATTAATCTTGAGGGATTGTGTTTTATGATGATGTTTGTGACTGCTGCCTGTCCCAATAGTTTCCTGTCCTTGTTATTCAGGGACTGAAGATGAACATAGAGAAGAGAGTAAAGGGAATTAAGCAGAACTGTAGACTTCATTTCTTTACAGGTAGTTGTAGGTGCTTGAAACAGGATGCATCACTGATACAGTCGTGTTCATTTTATTAAGATCATATGAGAAGAAATGAAAACCAAAAGTAACATATAAAAATTAATATCTGTAGTATGATGCATATATGATGCATTACTGTGTCTTGCCTATCACATTGTCAGCTCCCCATTGTAAGCTCTCTGAATTGTCCACCAGCCATGTCTTGCATCTCTAACAGTTGGGAACAGTGCAGCATGTCTATGGAGGACTGGCAGCAGCCAAAGGGAAGCTTCTCACAGCCTGCTTCTGCCTCTCCCACTGACCTTGCCTCACTCAGTCCTAACGCTATGCAATAGCCAGTCCTGGTTAAATAGACTCTAATTTTTCCTTCCCTTCTTTTGTTCTTTTTCTTGTTGCTTGCTTCTGCTCCTCATCTTCCCCCTACCTCTGGAATCCTTATACTGATTTCTCACTTCAATTCACTTCCTTTTCTCCTTCCTGTGTATCATTTCTTCATATTCTCTCTCTTTTCAGCTCTCCATGGAAGATACGACCTCCATCCTCCCCAAGCTGAAACGCAACTCCAATGCTTATGGGATTGGGGCTTTGGCTAAATCATCTTTCTCTGGTGAGGTCCTCAAAATTTGGGTTTATCCTTGGCAGCTTCTCACCACAGACCTTTGTGCCTCTTCCCATCTCTCCCTCTTGCTCTCCCAACTGCTCCTTTCTGACTCCTGCCTTTTTGAGGCCTTAGAAGAGTCTCCACTACCATGGTTCTAGATACAGAAATCTCTTAGCTGTTGCCCGTTCAAAGAACAGATTTGTCTTACTCCTGTTGGCTTCTCACCATGCACCCCAGCTCAGATATCTTCAATTGCTTTCCTTCAAACAGTCTTGGGTTTAACCCCATTTTCTATTTCTTAGTTTGTTCAGTTCCAGGCTTCATCCTTCATGCCCAACTCTGTCCTAAATGGATTCTAGGCAAGGAAGGAAATGGTCTTTCATATTTGGGGTTTCCCTTTTTCCCCCTTCTGAAGCCCAGTCCAAGGAAAGATGGAGAAACTCTCCTGGAGAGTGATACAGTGAAAGGTGGGAGACACCCAACCCAAGGCCTGAACCCTGTCAGGAAAGGAGGGGAGAAGCTCCACTTCCAAGACAGGTAAACAGCATGGCAGACAACCCTGGAGCTGTGTAATAGCCCCTCCTTGTTTTCTAATGTCTGGCCCCTTAGGGATATCTCGCAGCATGAAGGACCATGTCACAAAGCCAACGGCTATGGGCCAAGGCCGTGTGGCTCACATGATTGAATGGCAAGGCTGGGGCAAAGGTAACAGCCAGCAGCAGCAGCACACGCATGAGACAGCACGCAAAGACGCTGATGCCTACTCAGACCTGAGTGATGGTGAAAAGGAAGCCCGGTTCCTTGCAGGTAGCGCTAACTTTTTGGCATGTGGATTGGATTGGTTGGGATGTCCTAGAGCAGAATCCCTGAGAGACCAAAGTGCAGGAACCTGAAAAACATGCTCAGGAGAGTCTGTGGGTGGTTCAGATGGCCGAAGGAGATGAGAGACTGTGGTTGGAGTATTGCCAATGGAATGCAAAGTGGAGAGGGTGAGGGCCAACTGTGGGTGATGGGTGTTGCTGAGATAGGAGAAGAGTAGGACAGTGTGACCGAGAGATGAGGTTAAAGAGGGTGGTGAGAAGTGGAGACTTTCACACATCCCTGCTTCCCTTTCCTGTCTCCTTTGGCACAGGAGTCATGGAACAATTTGCTATTTCTGAGGCAACTCTCATGGCCTGGTCGTCCATGGATGGTGAGGATGTGAGTGTAAACTCAAATCAAGAGAACCCAGCAGGCAACTACTCTGAGAACTATCAGGAGCTAATGGAGAGCCAAGGTGAGCTCCAGTGCCTCTTGCTAATCTTGAAACACCCCTTTCCTGCTCTTTTTGTCATGTTTTTCCCTCTACCCTGTTTTCTTCTGTAGCCTCAGTTTTGGGGATTGGGATCTAGCAGAGGCATCACCTATTTGTGGAGCTGTCCAAGGAATCTAATCTTAACAGGAGGCTCCAAAGCCCAGTTCCTTTGCCTTTTTTGGGCACAACTGTGGAAAGCTACCAGCTCTTGCAGTCAATTGTGGGTATAATCAAGTTCATCTGCCTACTGCCTAGAACTGCCTTTTCTCTACACCCTCCTCCCCTCTAAAGGATTTATCTACCCTGTACAGTACAGTGCCATGCACAGACACATAAGCTACCTGAATGAGCCAGCTTGGCCTAGAGAGGGTGTCTAACTGTGTGTTGTTTCCCTCCTTTACTTGCAGAGCATATGGCCCAGACGCAGTATGACAGCTGGCCTCATTCCTACGTCTCGCAGGGCATGTATTGCTTAGGTTCATCCGATGCCTGGGAGACCAGTGACCAGTCCCTCATCGCTTCCCCCGCAACTGGCTCCTACTTAGGCCAGAATTTTGATGAATCCCAGACAAACCTTCAGGAAAGCATTTTGATTCAGAGCAGCCTTCTCCAGCAGCAACAGCTGCAGCAACAGCGGCAGGAGCAGAACTTCATCCAGAGCACGGGGCTGGTCCATGTGTGGCCCCTGCAGACTGCTCAGGGTGGGGGTGGGGCTGAGTCCAGCACATACATGGAGGACCACATTGAGGATGAAGGGAACCAACGGCTGGAGAAGGCTCCTCTCCTAAACAAGAAGCCCTCTCCAGAGGAGGATGATGCAGTGTGCCGGGACCTGGAATCACTGTCTCCTCGAGAGGAGATGGAACATGCTGCACTGAGCCGTAAAGTCTCAGATGTCACCTCCTCTGGGGTACAGTCCTTTGATGAGGAAGAGGGAGAAACAAACAACTGATGCTTTTCTGTGAAGTTCTCATCACTGCTGAACAAAGAGAGGGGTGGCAAGGAATGAAATGACAGGGATTCTTCTCTCCAGCTCCCCATACTTGCGAGCAGACATACCTTCCATTCCTGACATTTAATTATTTTTTTAAACAAGAAGAAAATCTCAAAGTGATTGACACATGAAGACCTCTTCTTCCCCTTCACCATGGACACATTTTTGATTTTCATTGCTCTGGGCAACACATGTGAGGTGCTTGGAGAGATCTGGATTGGTAAATAATTTCTAAATCTTTTTAATACAAAGTTTTGGCTGTGGATACAAACTCTTCTGGGGATGTGGCTGATGAGACGGGCTTGGTATAGGGAGCAGCTATGTGGCTAGAATCCATCTTGACAGAATGGATGTTGCTCTGTGGACATGGTCCCCTTTGATAGAATATATGAATATAAACTGGTGTAAAATGAAGATATGGCTTTACAAATATGGATTGCACTGGTATTGTGATTGTGGCTTATACAGAGGATAAGGCTGTATTTGATACAGACTGTACTGAGATGAAAGATTCGCTGTGTAACCAGATCCTCAATAGCACCTTGATATGAAATTGTAGGCTTGATGGATACAAACTGTGCTCCGTGGGCATGGGCTGTGCTGCAGTACAGATGGTGTGGCTCTGTGGGCATGGCTCTACTGTGGCATGGAAGAATGGATGCAGATGCGAATCTAACCCTGCTCTCAGATACTCATGCTTTGGTCTCTTTCTAATCTTTCATTTATTTGTTCCTCTCTTTGACATTTCTACCTTCCCAGGAGCTGGCAAGAGTGTGTCCTTTTGGCATTGGGCACTGGATGCCAATGGAAAGGACATTTTCAGCTACAGAGACAGTCATAAAAAACTGACTCTTGCAGGGGGCTTGAGAACATGTCCATCTTGGTACTGCTGCTGTATCCTTCTGTCTTTTCCCTTACCAGCAGTATGGGAAGACCCAGAGAGCAGGCAGCAGATCCAGGAACAGTGTGTACAACTATGAGATCATAGATATCCAGTTTACATTGGAGTTTTCAGTTTTTGCTTTTTTTTAACCTTTTTATATTGCTGGGTAAGTGTTCCTAACAAAGCAGTTAATAGTGGGAAAGGCCTGTACGCCAGTCATCACTTAACAGAAATACTGCACCTTTCTCATTTCTGCCTCTCCTTCTGCAGTGCCAAATGTAGCTGGAGGGAAAGGGGTGAGAGGAAGTTTTCTCCTCCTATTTATTTCTTCTTCCTGCCTATGTCTTCTTGTTTTGTTTTCCTGTCCCCAAGCAATGTAAATAATGCTCAGTACTTTGTCTGTTTCTTTTTCCCTCCCATCTCTTTTTTAGGAGTGGAGAAATCTGATTTCAGGAGTTTTCCCTATTTGTACGGGCTCTTTGTTTTGTTTTGTTTTTTTTTGTTAAAGAAATATGGTTCATTGACTAGGGGGAATTCGGTCCTTGCCATGTTTGGCAGGGAGGAGTTTTGAAAGGAAATTGAACAAACTGTCTCCTCTCAAGCTCTCACCAGAAAATAAATGGGAGCAAAAGCAAAAGAAAAAATTGTACAAGGCTATCAATTTTGCTAGAGGACTGAACAGAACCAGCAGAGATTACCCAAGTGCTGAGTTTTAATTGCAATACCTCTTGCAAGGAAGCATCAGCAAAGCATGGGCTTAGATCAGATGCTAGGTCTGATGAACTAGAGAAAGGAATTTGTCTGGACGCTGCCATACTGTCCCAGGGGCAACTCTTTCTCACTTACTCTGACTCATATCTACTCTGTTTAATTCGTGATACATTTGTCTCTTCTTTGCCTCCTCTTCAGGCTTGGTGTATTTTTTTGGATGACAGGAGAGTGATACATGCTTCTTTCCTGATTCAGGTTTAGAGCCAGCATAATTTGCAGGGAAGAATATCTGAGGAGAATAAAATGTGACTGAAGTAATGTCATCAAGTGTCAGAGTTCAGACAGCTCCTGGCAAGCAAAGCAGGTGATGTCCAAGAATTATGAAAAGTATGAATGGGACTATCAGGTAGAACTTCAGGTAGAACTCAGCTTTCTCCCACTTACACAGGCAGCTGCATGAACAGGGTCTCCTCTATGAATGCCCAAGTCTTTCCAGCCAAGTCCACTTCAAGTGGATCTGTCTTCCCTCTCCATTGCACCTGTAAAGGAAAGACCTTTGTGATATTTAAGTAAGACTGGTAATTTGGTGTAGGTAAGAGATAAGACCACCTTTTTTTGCCCATTTGCTTGGGCTTGCTTACATCTCTCTAAGGAGGTAGCTCTTCTCCTGAATGACAACCTTTCAATATCTCTTCAAAGATGTTTACACATTCAGGTGCTAACTTCCCCTGGGCAGGAGGCCTTGATAAAGATGATCTTCTACAGTTGTTGCAGGGCCAGTGCTAGCTCATTGACCTGAACTGGTTTGGGTTTAGCCATGGACCAGGGCCCAGGAAATCATACTAGCCAGAACAGGGAGACGGGGCAAGTGCCAAGAGCACCTCAGCAAAAGACTAATGAGTAAATGTTAACCTTTTCTTATTTCTTTTTTAAAAAAAGCCTTCAGGGAAACAAAAATGGTCTTTTATGTTCCTTTGTGGGAGATTTGGGTGGCTTGTTGCTTTTTTCCTCTAAACCATTTTGTTCCCACGTGCCTCTCCAGGACCAATCTGGATATTTACAGTAACTTTCAGAGTAGCTTCAAATGATCCCTCCATGTTGTTTACAGGATTGGGACAAGTGGGTCAACTTGTCCAGGGCTTCTTTTTCTTTTAATGTGGACATGTGATAAATTTACTAAGATGTCTGATTGATGTCTAAAAGATGTACAGTATCTCCATGCAAGGCAGTGACAGGGAATTATCTACATGGGAAAAAGTATGAAAAAACATTATAGAAAATTCTATGGAGTTCAATAGGAAAATAAAACCTATCTGTAGAGTTTTCTAATCTCTGTAGAATGGGATAGAGAATTATACCCTGCTGTATAATTCCATAACCTGATCTCTAGAAATCTGTGGATAGACTCTCATTCTCTGTGAATTCTGACTGGTTTGAAGACAACTCTATATAAACTTTAATGCTTACTAAATTCTATAAAACTTTTTCGAAAAGGTCTTGACTTTCTGTGAATAATAAAATTTCAGCCTTTTTCGGGGGG